GGATGGATGGATGGATGGATGGATGGATGGATGGATGGATGGATGGATAGAGATGGATGGGGAAATGGGTCAGTGCAAAGATCTTGGATTTAATTCCCAGTAGCGTTAAAAAAAAAAAAAAAGGAAAAAAGTGGTAAAGGGGGTATTTTATGACATAATGATTAGAATCTGCTATCTAAAATATATAACCAACTCATACAAAAAGAGGCAAAAGAACTCATACAATTCAACAGCAAAAAGACAACTCAATAAATTAGCAAAGGACAGTCTTGCTATAGTTCAGGCTGGCCTTGAACTCACAGCCTTATGCTGGGGTAATAGGTGTGTGCCACTATACCTAGCTTGGAACAGACATTTCTTCAAAGAAAACATAAATGGCCAACAAGCACATACAGAGGGCTCAATATCATCAGTCATTCAGAGAATGCACATAGAAGCTGCAATGAAATATTGTGTATCTTTAGGATGGTAATTTTTCAAAAGCAGCAGCAAGGACCTGAAGAAACCCTCATCCACTGCTCCATGGGAGTGAAAAATGTTCAGCCACTCGGAAGCAGCGTAAGGCTGCGCAGGAGTTCCATTCAGAATTCCCATAGAGTACAGCAATGCTACTCCTAGGAGGGTCCCAAAGGAAGTGAACACAGGTGCACAGAAAGCCAAGGGCCGGGCTGTAGCTCAATGGCAGAGTGCATGACACTCTGGCTGTGACCCCCAGCACGAGACACCCTTGCACGCGCGCGCGCACGCACACACACACACACACACACACACACCCACGATGAGGATCTTCCAAAAGAAACTTGGGCTTAAGGGCTGACCAGATATCTCAGCAGACTAAAATGCCTGCTTAGGCAGAGCGCAGCAGCTGGGGTTCAATCCCCAGTGTGCCCTGCCAGCCCCGGTCCCAGGAGCGCGCTGAGATGGCTATTGAGACTTGGTGTGGTGGTGCACGCCTATAATCCCAGCGCTTGGGAGGCTGAAAACAGGAGAATCACTACAAGTCCAATTTATAGTGAGACCTTGAACACCCTGTAGACACTGTACCAAATACATTAAAAAAAAAAAAAAAAGAAGAAGAAAAGAAACTTGGATACAAACACGCATAGCAGAACTGCTCCAAACAGCAGAGGAAGAAAGGACTCAAGGGTCAGCAGTGCATGGTGGCGCACAACCATAATCCCAGCACTTGGGAGGCTGAGGCGGGAGGCTCACCTTATGCTGTGAGACCAGCCTGAACTATACAGTGAAATCCTGTCTCAGTTGCTGCCCCCGCCCACCCCCCAAAAAAAAAAGAAAGAAAGGAAAAAGAAATGAGAAATACCTAACCATAAATGAATGAATCTTGAAAACTGTGCTTCAGGAAGGGAGTCAATGAAGGTTACCGTAGGATACTGTAGAATTCTGCTTATGTGAAACATCCATAATTGACAGCTCCATAGAAGCTGACTGCAGCTTAGTGGCTGCCAGATGCTTGGGAAGGGGCGATACAGGATGACTGTTTAGGAGGCAGAGCTTCCTTCTGGGGTAATAAATGTTCCAGATCTAGATAGTGTGATGACTTTAAAGCACTGTGATTATACTAAATGCCATGGAATTGGATGGTTTTAAATGGTTTCAGAGGTAAATGGTAAATTCCACATATGTTTATTTTATAATAAATAACAGAAAAGGTATTATGATTCATGATAAGAACATGTCCACAGAGGGGTACAGAAAAGGAGCAGGATGCTGGGCACCTATAACCCCAGCACTTGGGAGGCTGAGGCAGGTCACCGCAATGAAGGACAGTCTGAACTACACAGCAAGACCCTGCCTGACTCAACAGGGGCTGGGGAGATGATTCAGTGGAATAAGCACTTCCCTGGCAAGCACAAAGGCCTGAGTTCAATCCCTGGTTCCACAAAACAAAAACAAAAAAAACAAAAAAAAAAACAAAAAAAAACTCCCTCTCCTACTAAAAAAGAAAAGGTAACAAACAATGGGTACAGGAGGCTGACCTGGGTACAGCCTCAGAGCTGACCTGGGTGGACATAAGCAGGGCAGTGACAGCCATGGCCGGCTGGAGTCCAAACCTTCTGACTCGCAGCTAGGTGCAAACAGTGGGCATTCATCACAGCTTCCCTACCGGAACCTCAGGCAGGGTTGAGAGATGAAATAGCTATGGAGCTGAGGGGGCTGGACCAGAACAGCCCCGGGGCAGCAGGAGGTGGGAGGGCAGCATGCATGGCTCGGGAGCCTGGGATTGGCCCTTTCCTTCCACTCTGGACTTGCCAGCTCCTCTTGAGGGAGGATCAAAGTAGTGTCACCCCTCCAGGCTCAGGCTGTCAGCCAGCGCCTAGCCTGAACTTTCTCGGCAAGGCTCCCTGGGTGCTGGGTGGAAAGAAAAACATCAGCCAGCAGCTTTTCTTTCAGAGACTAATTCTGGGCTGAGTGCTGAGGCAGCCAGGAAACTCGAGCCAGCAGTGTGCTCAGGAAGACAGCAAGAATCCCTTCCTGGGGAGGTTGGGTCACCCCTCTTGCTGTTACAGGGCCTCTAAGAATGCTGTGGCCTAACCTAAACCTGAGCCTGAACCCGAACCTAAACCCAAAGTAGCCACAATCTCTAGAAGAGGCCAGAGCCAGAGCAGGTCGAAGCCCTAAAGATAAGCCAAGCTCACCCTCATACCCTTGGTGATGGAGGCCAATGGACAACAGGAAATGGCTACCTGTGAAGAACTGCAAAGGACCTGGACATGGTGGCTGAAGACTGCAATTCCAGCTACTTGGGAGGGTGAGGCAGAAGGATCACTTAAGCCTATAAATTTGAGACCAGCCTGGACAACACACTGATATCTTATCTCACTGTGGAAAGGGACCCAAGAGAAATTCAAGTGGACCCACCACCCCTTCCCGGGCACAAGTGCAACACAAAGGCTGAAGCCTCCATCCAAAACCAAGAAATTTCCTCAGAGGCTGAAAGTCTTACCTCGTCCCCAGGTTAGGCAAGCCAATCAGTTGGATGAAGTAGACCCCTATTTGACAGAAAAATACAAAGAAGAACACGAAGAAGCTGAAAGAGTTGTCCGACCTGTGGAAAGAGGGAGAAACAAGTGATGAGAGGGCCTGGTCACGTTGCACGTTGTTTCTTCCTGTGTGTAGCCTTTCTCCTTCCGACGAGCCAGGCGAGAGGGGGGACATCAGTATACAGAGCAATAGGGTCAGCCACACCTTTCATAAGGACAAGACACAGAACACCAACACAGGAACACCTAGCGCCATAATCAAAAGTTTGCCTTTACTGCTCAGCTTAAGGGGTACGGGCCTGACCTCTTTCTCAAGGAGCTGAGAAAACTGCTCCCCCAAGGCCAGGCAAGGAGATGCATACCTATAGTCCCAGCATTTAGGAGGCAGACGAGAGGATCAAAAAGTTTAAGGCCAGCCTGGGCTACACTGAATTCAATGCCAGCCTGAACTACCTAGCAAGATCTTTCTTCAAAAAAGAACAAAAATTGTTCCTCAGGCCAGGGATATAGCTCAGTGGCACAGTGCCTTTGTGGCAAGGGCAAGGTCCTGAGTTCAAATCCCAGAACCAAAAAAAAAAATTTTTTTCCAAGAACAAAATACATGTCCCCTGGGGCTGGTGAGATAGCTCAGTGGTCTAAGGCACCTACTTAGAACAAGCTGAGCTAAGCAAAACACAGAGACCGCGGTTCAGTCCCCCAGCACCACATGCCAGCCAGCCCCGCCCCCTGGTGGGCTGAGCTGGCCACACACACACACACACACACACACACACAATAAATAAATAAATAAATAAATAAATAAATAAATAAATACATGTCCCCTGCCCCCCAGTACTGGGGATTGAACTTGAGACCTTGTGCTTGCCAGGCAGGCACTTAAGCCACTGAGCTATCTCCCCAGTCCTGATTTTTTTTTTTTTAAGACAGGGTTCTCACTATGTAGCTTCACCTGGCCTCAAATTGCACTGATCCTCCTGCCTCAGCCTCCCCAGTACTGTAATTACAGACATGCGCTATCACATCATCACCAAAGGACCTTATAGAGATCCTCACACTTCCTTTCCTGGCATGGTTGCACTTGATAGCACATGAGAAACCTCTAGCCAAGGCATAAATACCTAACAATAAAACTGTAGAAGCTGAGCACAGTGGCACATGCCCGTAATCCCAGGACTCTAGGAGGCTACGGCAGGGGAAGCACACCCCAACTTGGGCAATGAAGCAACTTACGGTGATCCATTCTCAAAATTTAAATGTTTTTCAGAAAGAAAAGGGGGATAGAGATGTAGCTCAATGTGAAGGCTCTGAACTCAATCTATAGTACTACAGAAAGAAAAAAAAACAAAAAAAACAAAAAACCCAAGGTAGGCCCAGGTAGAAGCTTAGATATTTGAAGAGTGGGGACACCAGGTAAAAATCTGTAAGGGGGGGTGCCAGGGAGATGGCTCAGTGGAATAAGCGCTTCCCTGGCAAGCCACAAGGGCCTGAGTTTAATCCCTGGTTCCCCCCCAAAAAAAAAAATCTGTAAGGGCTGAGCACTTCCATCTCTGTCCAGTGGAGTGAGGGCTCAGATACTACAGGGACATGTAGGAGGGTCCAGCCCGGTTCCACCCCTTTTCCCAGGACCCTTGGGACTTCCAGCACCATCCACTTCAAGGGAAGGCTCCATTCCAAACCCACGAGTCTGGGAGGTACGCAGCCAGGCTCTGGCACTCAGCAGGTACCCAGGGTCTTGGGGTGTGGGAGGCCCCACCCCACCCTCTGCAGAGCACATTCAGCACCTCTGCAGGCAGCCTGACTCTCCCCAGCCCTGCTCACCGGAAGGCCTTGTAGATGGGTCGATACCAGCAGAGAAAGGCACAGGGTGTGAAGATCACAAACCACAGGATTGAGAGCCCAAAGTCTACTCCCTTGGAGGTGTCGCCCGTGAACCAGGCCAGGCATGCGAGCAAGTTCAGAAACAGAGTCACTGAGTGCACTAGGAGTGGGAGGAGAGGAGACAGAGCTGCATGAGTCCAGGTGGCCCCCAGCTCCACCATGAGACAGACTCTTCAGAGAGGCAGGATGAGGCCTGCTCCCAAATCCTTACTGTCCTCGTCCTCAAAACCAGGGATCAAACTATGTGCCCAAGGGGTGACAGGACAGAGACGCAGGCCCAGGGACTATCCTTGGAGAATGAACAGCTCTCCTCCTCTGGCCCCTGTGGCCCAGCAACAGGAATGGTGTCTTCCTCACCCCCAGAGCCCAGGCACCTGTGGGCAGGGAGCCTCCCCTAAGGCAGGTGCTCAGCATGGAGAGTTCTACAGAGACTTGGGGAACCAACCCTACCAGCTCAAGACACAGGATGGAGGAAGTCTGTGGAAGTCTCACCACAGGGAGGGGCACCCCAAGCAAAGATGGAGCCTTGTGATTCCCCACAGCACCCCTGAACCCTGAGGGAGGGCAGGAGCAGGACTCACACATCCAGAGATAGTACAGCATCTTGCAGATGCGCTGGTAGTCAGCAGGGATCTCGGTGGAGAAATCCTGATAGAAGCAGGGCTTGACTGGACACCATGTGGGCAGCGGGGGCCAGTTGTTCTCTCTCACTGTATGGAAAGAGGGAAGAGGCAATGGGGTGAGAGGCCAGCCTCAGGAGCAGAATCAAAGCCAGGCATGGTGGCACAAGTGGGATGGGGGTCTTTGTGGGACGTGGAGTGGTGCATAAGAGGTGAACAGGACCCCAAGAGACACCCACAGGCTCTGTCCAAGATGATGAAGCCCAGATGCACTAGAAAATACAGAGCCCAACAGCCTAAAAGATTATTTTTATAAGCAACCAGCTGCTAAGCAGGACAACCTGGGTCATCATCTTGAGTAAAGAATTATGGGCACTGTGCCCCCATGCTTGCAAAGCATCAAAGACTTCAGCACTGTGAAGGTAACAGAAATGATCTACTATTGTACATCTATCAGCCCATACTGCAGATCTCCTCAGGCCCAGCCCCTTTTAAGAAAACCAGAGCTCTGCCAAGCTCTACAGCTGGAGTGGGAGGAAGCAGCTCAGGGACAGTGAGGAGGCCCTCTGTGCCTGTGAGGGACATGCTCCCAGGCGCGGAGGGGGGCAGGGCCTTGTAGCTGCCCTTACCGTGCAAGCTAGCTGCTGTGCTCTGCAGCTCCCGCTCTTTGCGTTCTAGCTCCGCAGCTTTCCTGTCCAGCTCTTCCTGCTGCCGGAGCAGGCCTGCTTGGGCTGCAGCTGCCACAGCCTGGAGAGACAAGTGGGGACAGCCAGACACAGCAGAAGGACAGTATCAGTCAGTCTCATAGGCAGCCAGGAGGAAAAGCCAGGAGGGAGGCTACACAGAGCGTGTCAGGCACCAGGGGCCACTCCAGAGGGACTGAGGGGCCCTGGGTCCTCGGCTCCCTTGGCAACACCAGGGCCATCGTCCACCCCCCACTCAAGCTGAGACTGGAGAACCAGCCCCAGGTTGAATTAGTGACCTTCGCAATTATAGCCAAGGGGAAAGACCTCATAGCAGATTAAGCCAAGGTCAGAAACCCTGAGCTGATCCCCCGGGAAGAGCCAGGAGGAGTGTGGGAAGCGGGGACAGTGTGTGAAATGTACACAGCAGGGAGAAGAGCAGGTGCAGAGGGCACAGCTCCAGGATCTGTATTTCAGGGTCCACTGCCCTTTCTCTGCTCCCAAGCTGCCTGAATTATACCTGGCCACCCCCAGGAACCATCAAAGTTTCATGCAGAATCCAAGCTTTCTCTCCCAACAGGTAGGGCAGGGCCCCTGTATGAGGCAGCTTGGGGACTCTTAGGTAACCCCAAGCAGAACTGGGCCCATGACCCTGCTCCTGATGACACTGCCACTTGGGCCAGGTTCTTCCTGAGGACTGAAACCACAGTCTTCTGTGACCAGGTAGCACCTAGTCCCCTCATAGGGTGACAAACCAGGCACATGTGTGATACACACTCATCCCCAAAAGAGCTCTCCACAGAGCTAAGGCTGCCTTGGGAAGTGAACTGCTGTCATCAGTGGCAGAAGCAGGAAGTGACTGCTCAGTACCATGCAGAGGGGCTTGGCCTCCAGGGGAACAGCTCAGCCCCAGCTGCCCACATTCACCCTGCCTGGAAGACCTGCCTTTCCTCCATGGTGCAAGGACCACGCTGCTGAGCACCTCTGGGTGCCTGGCCCCTTCCTCCTCTACACTGGGCCTACCTGGGGGAGCATTCGCAAGCAGCTGTCTCTGAGAACACTATCTCCTCCTAGCAGCATCTGCCTCTCTGCGAGTGTAGTCGCTGCCAGGAGCTAGGCCAGCAGGAACTTGCTGGCCTGCCTAAGCAGGAGCTGCAACACACAACTCCGATGGGGGCTCGTGTGGGGCCACAGACAAGAATTGGTATTTCAGGAAAGAACAAAAGAAAACCAGAAGGCAGGCAGAAATACACAAGGCCAAAGAGAGATTGGGGCATGGTAGAGTGTATGCTTAGCATGTGTGAGGGCCTGGGTTCAAACCCTAGCACTGCAAAAACAAAATAAAAGCAGAGACAGACACAGGTAGATTCCAGGCCCCAATAAAGTAAGCCACGGGCAGCCCTGGAGGAGCACAACAGGGCAGACACTCTCTGAAGATACCAGGGACTCTATCCTCGTGAGTAGAGCTGTTTTCCAGTGGTGGCAGTGGGGTAGGAATAGGGATTAAGCCATTTATGGGTTGGCAGAGCTGTCCAATTGTAGGTGTCCAGCTCCAAAGAACAAGAGGGTCCTGAAGGGAGGTGAGGAGCCCTCAGCTCACTGCAGCCTCAGGGCTTGGCTGGGCTCACCGACTCCTACTCCGACAGAGGCCCCCAGGGCTCTGGGCACCAATACCTGGGGGCTTGGCTGCGTGGGCTCCACTGAGGGCTGGAGAACGGCCGGCTGTGATGGCCCAGTCAGCTGAGTGGCAGGCACTGTTGTAGCTGCATTTGTCTGTGTAGAACAAATCATCACAGGAGGGTGTGAGGGGCCCTTCCCTGGGACCCATACTGGTCTCCTCTGTGGCTTCCTAGAACGAGCCCTTTCCAGACATGACCCCTCACCTAGTCTTCCAGCTGGCCCCATGGGGTCCCCAGTGTTCCAGCACAGCCCTGCTCTCTTCAGGGAGGAGACTAGGTCCAAGATGCCTGGAGACAATTCCAGAGAGCTTCGGTGATGTCACCTCTGCCTCCCCCTAGTTGGCATCCCTCTAAAGACTACTGGGCACCACCCAGAGGACCCAGGTTAGGGGTACACAAGGCTCACTGACCTCTGAGAAGGGGTTGAACTCAGCCAGGCCACTCTGCGAGGGGTTGGTCAGCTGAGTCACAGAGGGGTCCTGTGGAGGTGGAAAAAGAGGCATGAAATGGCAGACGGCTGCAACCCTGGCACTCGTGTGCAGCCAATCAGAAGCCTGGAAGCTGGCACCCCACAGTGAGGAGGCTCACAGATTCACCCCTAGGGAGCAGGGGTTTGCAGGGAGTGGGGTGAATAGGGTGGCAGAGGTAGAGACTACTTGTCACCTTATAACCTCTGTATTGGTTTATTTATTATGCTACAGAAAGCAATTTTTTTCTTACTTTTTAAAGAACGGTTTAAGGACTTGGAACAAAGCATGCTACTGGCTGCCAGTGTGATATATCAAACCAGGCACACCCGCTAGAGCAGAGATGAAGGGCTCACGTGAAAAGCTGGAGAAATCTTTTATTTTGGGGTTTTTTGAGAATTCTTTTTAAAAAATGCAAAAATGTCCTCAGCCTTGTCCTCAGTTTGCTTGCTCAACTTTCTTTTCTTCTTCCTTCCTTTTTTCCCCCCTTTCTTCCTGTCCCCCACCCCCTTTGGCTCTTTCTGGATGCACTGGGGCTTGAAACCAGATTCTTTGCAATAGACTAAATCCCCAGTCCTATTTTTTTATTTTGAGATAGTATCTCAATACCTTACCTAGGCTGGGCTTGAACTTACAACTTTCCTGCCTCAGCCTTCCAGACTTCTGGGATTATAGGTGTGCACCATACATGTCCAGCTCTTGTTCCAAATTTTCAGTCCTGTCTTTCCATGGCCCAAGACTCCTATAGCTTCTTCTGCAGTATGTCCTCAGGAAGCCTTCCTCTTCCCCTATATCCTCCCTTTCCCACCACAGGGGTAGGGTTCAAATCCTGCTCCACAGCCATGTCCAGGTTCTGGCAAGAATAACCATGAAGGGAGCTAGGCTGCCACCATCTCTCCTTTACTCCCAGCCCCTCACTGTTCAACAGGTGGGAACCCACACCTGTAATCCCAGAATGCTGAGAGGCTGAGGCAAGAGGTTCCCAAGTTCCCACCTAGCTGAGACAACTTAAAATTCATAGACACAGTGTCAGTGCTATGAGGCAGGAGGGTGAGGTGTCCACTGTCACCGTTTCTGCTCTGTATTCGAAGCTTACATGCTTCAGTACAGAGCCATGAGGCAAGAGAAACAAAGCAAAGGAATATATCTAAGAAAGGAAGATGCCAAACTACCTTTCTTAACAGAGGACCCCAAAAAGTCCACCACAGACTCCTGAACTAATGGCCAAGTTCAGCAAAGTAGCAGGATACAAAATCCATACAAAAATCACCAGAGTTCCTGGATAACAATGAACCCAGAAAAAAAAAAAAATCTGATAAAAAAAAAAAAACCAACGATAACATTCACAATTGCTCCAAGAAAATTAAATAAGGTACAGTAGCTCCCTGACTTACAAACAGTCACGTTGAGAAATGGCACAGGCATACTATGTAAGATTCACTTTGTCGGATTATGAAGAATCTGACTAACAAACATTCTGGAATGCAACTTCTTTGTAAGTTGGGGACTTACTGTAGCTAAGAGTTAACCTAACCAAGGAAGTAAAAGACCTCTACGATGGAAACTGTAGTACCTTGAAAAGAAGAGGTTGAAGAGGACGTCAGAAAATGGACAGGCGTGCCCTGTGGCTGAATTAGTAGAAGCAATGCTGTCAAAATACCCACAGCACCAATTTATACAGCGCAATTTCAATTAAAATACCAGCAGCATTATTTATAGAACTAGAAGAAGGCGGGTCTTGACCACACAACTGAACTTCAAGGATCAGGACAAGGTTCATCCTCTGCAGCACCCACCAACCCCTGTGCCACAGACACCTGATTATGGCCTCTGCTGGGTGCCACTCTTTCCTAATGGCTCCTGCAATGGGAATAACACAAGGGGGGGGATTCAGGACACTTCCTGAAGCTGGAGGATTGGTCCTAAGTCAGTTCACTGCTGACCGACAGCAGTTCCCACAAGCGATCAACTGGCCTCCTGCAGGGAAGACCCGGAGCTCGGTATCTTGTCCCTTCTCAGACTCAGTGTCACTTTGTCAGGTGGAGAAAGTTGAGTTGCAGTCACTGAAACCAGACCCACCTGCCAGGGAACTGGTGACTGAGTCTGAGTCACTGAGGGACATGGAGCCCAGGGACAACTCTAGTGGAAGTTTCAGGCACTGACACCCCGATACCTGGCCAAAGTGCACACTTGCAGGCTGCTGGTGAGATGCTATCTCCCTCACAGCATCCAGGGAGGGGATTCTGAGGTTGAGGTGAAGATGAGGGGGTGATGTCCTGTGCACATGGACACCCCTCCTTTTCTTTGGTAAAGTCCCAAAGGCTTGTCCCTTGCTTGGCCCTACCATCCCTATCACAAACATGTCCTGTCCCCACTTAGGCTGGGGAGCATTGAAGCCAGGGCATGAGGTCCTGACCATCCTCTGTCCCCTGGGGACAAACACTGCAGGCTAGAGGGTCTCTCTGTTCTCTAGGAAGCACTGACTCATGGTAAGGGACTGCAGTCCAGTGGCCAAGGGCTGAGAGGCACCCAACCTGAGAAGAGGAGCCCAGTTACTCTATGAAATGCTAAGATATCTCATCTGAGGAGACTGGGCTCTCCTGACAGCTATGAGGGGCAAAGCTGGGCAGGAAGCACAGGAACAAGGGGAGATGATACTTGCTAGCCTCTCGTGTGCCAGATTCACCGTACCAGAACAACATGACTGTGAAACCTGGCACCCAAACTTGGTCACTGGGCCAAGCTGTCAGAACCTAAGGTTCCACTCCCCTTCCCAGCCTCCCTCCAAGGGGCACAAGCCTCTGCCCTATGGAAGCCACTGTCTCCGGTGACTTCACTTCTCTCCCATAATCTGCAGTAGACTCATCCTGTCCTACACCATAGCCTGTGTGGTCTGTGACGCAAGGAGGGACTCATTAGAGAAGGGTAGCCACATATCTCCTGTGGAGCCTTCCTAAAGATCTCAAGGATGCAGTTGAGCCATTCTATCTGTCCCCAGGAACACAAGATGGTAACAGAAGAAGCAGGGAGAAGAAGCAGGGCCCAAGTCTGGTCCAGAGCCTGGTAAACAGGAGGGGACTGACCATCGTGGCATACTAGGAATGGACCCGACTCCAGGGCATTGGCCAGACTTCATGGACCTGTTCTGGGGGATGTCCCTGACAAAGACACACAGACAGGGTCTCTCAAACAAGGGCCACCCCTGCGGCCCTAGTGAGGACCATCAGATCACAGGCAGGAAGTGGGCAGCACCAGACTCTGTGCCACTCACTGAGCACTGCCTGGCTCCTAAATGGGTTATGGAGCTATCTACTACAAGAATGGCAAGGGTTAGGTTTCACCTACTAAGAAGTAACCTTAAACCCCTTGGCCATGTGGACTGCCGCATGCCCTTTACTGAACTTATAATAAGGAAAAGGGTTCTCAATTCACTTCTATTTTTTGTTTTGTTTCTAAGACAGAGTCTTGGTATGTAACCCAGGCTGGCCTCAAAGCTTCCACAATCTTCATTTCTCAGCCTCCCAAGTACTGGGATGACAGGTGTGTGCCACCATGTCTGGCTAATTTAGTTCTTTTCATTCAGCAGTCACCATGATGAGTCAGGACACACTAGAAGCTGAAACAAGCAGACACACCCCACTAGTGTGCTGGTGACCACAGGGCCGTGATGGGGGAGGGGAGATCCCTGAGGGTTATGAGGAAGGCGGGGTTCCCAGAGAAAGGGAGGAAGGCAGCCAAGGCTATGAGCCTGGGAGCACTTCCGGCCAGCTGAGGAGGAGAGAGGCAGCTGGTCCTGTTGTACTGTTCACAGGGCCCTGAAGTATGCTTGCTTTCATCATTCTGCAACTCTTTAAGCATTTCCTAGGTCCTACAGGGCCTGGGTCTGGTGACTTTTCCCTGCTTTGGCATGCCGTACACCCTGGGAGGTCTTGCATGGAGCCACATATGCCCATTTCTATTACACAGGATGGGGTTTGTTAAAGTTGTCAGGAATAAGGCTTACTTTAAGAGATACCAAGTGAAGTTTAGAAGAAAATTAGAGGGCACAACTGATTACTATGCTCAGAAACCCTTGGTGATCCAGGACAAAAATAAGTATGACACACCTACACACAGGATAATAGTTCATGTAACTAACAGAGATATCATTTGTCAGGTTGCCTATGCCTGTATTAAAGGGGATATGATTTCTGCGCAGCACATGCACATGAACTACCAAAATACAATTTGCAAGTAGGCCTAACAAATTACGCTGCAGCATTCTGCACTGGCCTGCAGGCCTCTCAATAGGTTTGGTATGGATAAGATCGATGAAGGCCAGGCGAGGTGACTGGAGATAAACACGACGTAGAAGGCATTGATGGTAAAACTGGTGCCTTCACCTGCTTTTTGGACGCAGGCCTTACCAGAATTATAAATGGCCATAAAGTTTTTGGAGCCCTGAAGGGTGCTGCAGATGGACACTCGTCCATCCCTCACAGCACCAAACGAGTCCATGGTTATGATTCTGAATGCAATGCAGAAGTTCAAGGAGTTCAATGGAGAAGTACACTGGAAGCACATTGTGGGTCACAATGTTGCAGATTATCTGCAATGGATGAAGATGCTTCCAAGAAAGGGTTCCTTCAGTATATAAAGAATAATGTAACTCCAGATACAATGAGAGAATCTTTTTTTTTGTTTTGTTTTGTTTTGGCAGAACCGGGGATTGAACTCAGGCACTTGCGCTTGCCAGGAAAGCTCTTATTCTACTGAGCTATCTCCCCAGTGTGAGAATCTCTTTTTAAAAAGATTTATTTATTTATTTGGAACAGGGTTTTGCTATGCAGCTTGGACTCATAGTGATTCTCCTGTCTCAGCCTAATCAGCACTGGGATCACAGGTGTGTGTCACAATGCCTGGCTTCGGTGGTCAGCACGGCATGCCTGGGGTTCTGGGGCTGGCCCAGCATGCAGTGCCAGGGATCAAATCCAGGAGAGAGGGAGAGGGAGAGGGAGAGGGAGCGAGAAAGG